TCAATGATCACCGAGTATCACTGATGGGGGAGAGACCTGTATGTAAACAATACAGATCTTTCCTCTGTCAGCTTCAGCATTCTGCTTTGTATGGCTCTGCATAGTAGAGCCATACAAAGCAGTGTTCTTACACAGTACAACACACACATACACAATAGTAAAACAGCACACAGTTAACCCTTTGATTGCCCCAGATGTTAACCCCTTCCTGCCCAGTGTCATTAGTACAGTGTCAGTGCTTTTTATTAGCACTGATCACACTCTATTAGTGCCACTGGGGATGTCAGTGACAGTTAGTCAGTTCCCCCCCCCCCCCCCCCCCCAGTGTCAGAATGCCTCCTGCAGTCCCGCTATAAGTCGCTGATCACCGTAATTACTAGTATAAAAAAAGAAAAAAAATTCCAGTATATATACCGCCATTTGCAGGGCTACTGTTAGATATCACTGGGCCCCGTACAACCTACCTAACAGGGCCCCCCCCCCCACTGCCAGAGAAAATATCAAAATTATATTTATGGTAAAAATACACTAAAAACATTATTAATGGACATAATCCCAACCAAATTTCTGTTAAATTTAAATTATATAACTTTACTGAGTTCATAACTAAAGCTGTGTGTGTAATGTAGGTCTTGGAGCTCATTCACATGGGTGCTGTGGCCTGTACAGTGGGAATCACTGGTTTGTTTTTGTGGCTGTCGCCGTTTGCAGGCAACCTATGTTACACTATGAAAACACTGCAGGTTCTAATTTGACAGGCATATGGGTGCAGGTGTACAGCCCTGAACACAGACAGTGAGCATTCAGGGCCACTTCCCCATGCCTACACACCTGTCAGATTAAAACCTGTGCTCATACAGCTGCTGTGTCCCCATAGCATAACAGGTGGGTCCAGCCACATAAACAACCCACTCTTTCATGCTGTACAAGCCAGAGGACCTGTGTGAATGTGGCATTTTTGACAATTGTTTTTCCTCAGCCCACTAATTTCAATGGGCTGCCTAATGTGTGGGAAGTGTGTTGCATCTAACCACACAGTAGTGTGGTACCATGCGTTTTTGTGGCTGTGAATACATCTGTGTTTACTAGATGTGTGGAGGTGCAATTAAGTATTCATGGTACCTGCGCACATCTGCAAAGGGCATTGCATTTCTTTGCTGTGCAGGAAAATGCATGCTCTTGCATGCGTTTCTGCACCACAAATGGTATGAACAAGTCCTAAGGGCCGGTTCACACTACAGAAACGCAGTCTAGATGTGTTCTGGATGCATTTTTGCATATGCTTTTTTGATGAGTTTTTTAGCATTTTTCGGTGCATCTTGCATTTTTGACGCGTTCCAGTGCATTTTTTATGCATTCCAGTTCATTTATTCCCCTTTTTCTTCAATTTAATTAGGGATATGTTCTTTCCAGTGCGTTTTTGGTGCGTTCCATTGTGTTTTTTCCATGTTACAGGGACTGACCAGGAATTGTGAATTCATTCAGACTAGTGGTGAGATTCAATTAGGGATCTTATAATAATGCGAGATCTGAGCTGGAGGCGATAGGAAATGAGACACATTAACTTGATCAGTAAATAAATAGATAAATAAAAAGAGTTGAGCAGTGAAATATAGGTTTGCAGAGGGAACAAGTAATAACAGTGGGGGGAAGGGGGGTCAAGTTTTATAAGGAGAGAGGTTTGTAGCAGTGAACAGAAAAGGATCAGCAGTCTGGGGAGAAGAGAGAAAGTTGCAATCAAATGAAAACAGAAGGAAACTTGAAGGTGTCAAACCTGTGGAGCAGAGCAGGACTGCAGCTAACATTCACAACACTGAGTCCCTGTGTGATAGAATGACAGGAGGCTGCAGATGGGCTTGTAAGCTGCCTGGGCCCCCCTCTGCAGCTGATGGGCCCTGGCCCCCTATAGGAGGGCCGGGGGTACCCCATTATCAGCAGCCCTGTGCATTTGTAGACGCTATAACATTCATGTAAACCAATTAATTTACACGTATTGGGATTTTTTTTAGCAAAGACATAGCAGAATACATTTTGGCCTAAATCTGATTTTTACATTTTTTTTTACTGGACATGTTTAACCATTTGAATACCGGGCAATTTTACACCTTCCTGCCCCACGCCATTTTCCAAGTTTCAGCGCTCTCACACTTTGAATGACAATTGCACGGACATACAACACTGTACCCAAACTAAAATTTTATCATTTTCTTCACACAACTAGAGCTTTCTTTTGGTGGTATTTAATCACCGCTGGGGTTTTTATTTTTTGCTAAATTATCAAAAAAAGACCAAACATTTTGAAAAAAAACACGTTTTTCTTTGTTTCTGTTAGAAAAGTTTGCAAATAAATAATTGTTCTTCATAAATTTAGGCCGAGATGTATTCTGCTACATGTCTTTGGTGAAAATAACCCAAATTAGGATGTATTTTTTGGTTTGTAGGAAAGTTATAGAGTTCACAAACTATGGTATAGATCTGAATATTGATCAATCCTGAAGTACTGACAGCCAATCTAATTTCTTGAGGTCCAAGAATGTCAGAACAGTACAGATATCCCACAAATGACCCCTTTTTGCAGAGTAGACAGTCCGACGTACTTCATAAGAGGAATGGCGAGTTTTTAGAAGTTGTATTTTTTTGTCATAATTTTTCGGAAAATGAAAAAATGCAAAAAATTATTTTCACTATTTTTTTTTTTTACATACTGTCACCAGTGCAGTACAGCATCTCCACATAACTGGCATGGCGGTGATCAGGGACACTGACTGGTGACAGTATGAAAAAAAAAAAAATATATATTTGTTTTTTATTTTTTTTATTATTTTAAATTATTTATTAATTTTTTTTTTTCTTTTTTTAAGATTTTTTTTTTCATATTTCACTATGTCCAAAGTAGTACAATGTTACCATAGTAACATTGTACTACTTTGGGGAAGTGATCAGTATTTTTTTTTTTTTTTTTTTACACAATTTGCTTATAGCAAAGAATTACTTTGCTATAAGCAAGCATTTACCTGAATAACATCGATTTATTCAGGGGTTTTTTTTTTGTGCTTAGCTGTGATTTGGCCACAGCTAATCACATGACATGTACATGTGATCGCTGTGACCATTCACAGCTAGGCACTAGTATACAATGGATGGCATGAATGAAGCCATCCATTGTATACAACTGTCATGTGACCTGCTGTGATTGGTCACAGCAGGTCACATGGTACCGGCAACAGGCCGATACTCAGATCTGTCATCGGCCGTGTCTGAGATACACGGCCGGTGACAGATCGCGCCGCTGTGCGGCTCTGCAAGCGCGAAAAGTGCGCATGTGCGGGAGGACGCCGTTTGGCGTCCAACCCGGAAATGCAGTACATTTTGCCGGCCGCCTTTTGGCTATTGGCCGGGCGTGTATTGGTTAACAGCAAAAACTCAAAAATATAGTTTTTTTTTCAAAATTGTCGGTCTTTTTATGTTTATAGCGCAAAAAATAAAAACCGCAGATGTGATCAAATACCATTGAAAGAAAGCTCTATTTGTGGGAAAAAAAGGACATTAATTTAATTTGGGTGCAGCATTGCATGACAGCGCAATTGTCAGTTAAAGTAACGCAAAAAATGGCCTGATCAGGAAGGGGGGTAAATCCTTTGAAGGGCAAGTGGTTAGGGGCAATTTGCAATGGAAATGTAAACAAGCGATCTATCTGGTGCATTGGATGTCACAAGTGCACAGTTCTTGTGAGTATTTTTTATCTTCTTTTAATAAAGGATATTAAGTTACTCTGATACTGCACCATGAGATCCTTTTTTTTTTTTTATTATTATTATTATATATATTGATTTGGCTGGAGTCCTGCAGTCTTAAAAAGTGAGAGCCACCACACAATCTTCCATGGCACTCACCGGATTCCCATGTCCGACTTTTTTTTTCTAAAAAGGCATACACTCTTGACCCTTGTTTACATATATGCAGCCGTGCGGGCCGCGTTTTGCGCGGGCACGAGACCTCATTCATTTAAATGGACTCCCGTGCCCCGGGACATGCAGGGAAGAATTCCCTGCACTTCTTCCGATAACGCAGCCCGCACAGGAACCTCGGTTCCCAGTACGGTTGCGTTTTCCAGTGCGGTCAGCGTGCCATTAGAACTAATGGCACCTGCCCACGGGTCCGCATTTCTCTGTGCAGGTGGTGTGGCTGCACGGATTATCGTAGGGATCCGCAGCGGCACCACCTGCACAGATGTGAACCTAGCTTTATAGTCTCTGTTCCCTTGGGTTAAGGAAACCAATTGCATCTCCTGCTCAATCCCTTCAGGGTGCTGGCTTGATAATACCACTCCACCAGAGGAAAGGAGACTCATACAGTGCAGTAAGAAATTACAACTTTCAACCATCCATTAATATACACATATTCACAGAAGGTTTTAAAAACTTCAATGCAACCATGTTAGTCTCAAAGATGGAGGGACCTGTGGGTGGCACTCACTCACACTCTGTACTCAGTTGGCTGGTTGCTTGCAGCTGCTCTGTGTGTCTCTGCACCACCACAGGTCTCCCACTTCCATTCCGAACTGTCGCTCCTCCCTGACGCGTTTTGTTACCACTGCAATTTTCTCAAGAACATGCGCAGCTCCATTTACATTATGCAGAGGATTGCAAACAGGGCAGGTATGTTTATTTTATTGCAGAAAATACATTGCATGTCTCTTCTGCAATAAAGAGCCTGCCTGTTGGCAAAAAAAAAAAAAAAAAAAATAAAAAAAAAAGTGTTTAGTTCTAATTTACACAGCTTGTCTTTTTTTTTTTTTAGATTTTCTGAACTTTGCACATTACTAGTTGCGTTGTTAAATAAACCTGTATATTTTATTTACAGTTGCGGTACACTAGATCAATAAGGAGCCAGTCATCGATGAAGATAAAGTAGGTTCTCTCATCTCCAATTATAGTCACAGTTCATCCTTTCCATGCACATTTCCATCTTCTATTCATCTCTGCTGAAGTGTGTGTAGATCATATTCCTTTCTCCCGGAAATAGGAACCTAATGACAACAAATTAAACAAAGCAGACAATCGGGACAGAGGCAATTTACATCCATCAGCACCCATTCACTGCACATCTGACTTTATCAACAGATCTGTAATATATTCCTTTAAACCTTTCCCCATTTCTGGCTTGAAATTCTGAATATCTGTCCACAGCATTTTTAGCTCCCATGACTTTCACACATTCTAGAGCTGGTTAAAGCACAGCTCTACCCAAAAGGGGACGTCCTGCTTTAAAGCTTTGTCCCCCGCTCCCCATCAAGGATTGGCACCTTTGGGGAGTGGGTACCTGAATTTGACAGGTACCCGCTCCCACTTCCACTGCGATCACCTAGGCAATCAGAAGAAGAAGTTGTTCTCATCCCCCCCCCCCCCCCTGAAACGTGACAGATCCCAGAAGACTATGGGGCCATTCACAAAGCGTAGTGCTTCTCGCGCATGAGCAGTGGGCACCCGAGCAAGCTGTCACAGCCAGGTGCCCACACTAAAGATGCAGGCGCTAGGGAGAGAAGACAGCCGGTGAAACCAACGGTGGGGAGGACACCGCTGGACCGAGGGACAGGTAAGTGGCTGTATTTTAAAAGTCAGCAGCTAGAGTTTTTTGTAGCTGCTGACTTTTATTTTTTTATCTTTTCAGCTGGAACTCCTCTTTAACTGTAGAACATTTTTTAAAGTGGTGTAGTAATGCTTTTGACCACTAGAGGGAAGAGTTCGGTTGCTTACTAACAAAATGAATATTTTGCTGATTGATTGGCAACACAACACAATGTATTACAAACAATGGAAGTCAACATGTTCCAAAGGAGGTATTTATCATTGTACTATGCAATTAAAAATCTCTTGTAAAGCTGAGTCATTAGGTTGTTATGATAACAGGAAAACAACAAATTGACCTATTAGGTAAGACAGGCAAGAAATACCCCGAGGGCCCAAATCTCTTAAGCTGGTCATACACCAATAGTTTATCCCCATTCCGTGCGGCTATACAGTGTGGAAGAAGGAATATCCCACTACAGTTATTATATTGTGGACAGCCAGCCCTACCAGCTGACAACATATCCGACCACCGACTGCATTTGATTGGATGCAGCAACTTTTTGGCCAACAATTTTCTGCATGGTTCCTTTGCAATCAAGGACTGTTGGGTGGGAACCAGCTTAGGGTCACCCACTGAGTGAATGTAGTACACTATATGGCCCACATTTAGATTGTAAGCTCTCACGAGCAGGGTCCACCTAATACTCTTATGTTGAAATGGTTTGTAACTGTACTGTCTTCCTTCATTTTTGAAAGCATTACGCAAAATGTTGGTGCTATACAAATCCTATATATAAATATATGAATATAAAACCTCTGTCCTACTCTGCTTTATATCAGTGGGTGGGGTGCTGCACCTGTGTCCAATCCTGCCATGTAATCATTCCACATGTACGGTGCCTTGAAAAAGTATTCATACTCCTTGAAATTTTCCACATTTTGTCATGTTACAGCCAAAAACTTAAATGTATTTTATTGGGATTTTATGTGATAGACCAACAAAAGTGGCACATAATTGTAAAGTGGAAGGCAAATGATAAATGATTTTCAAAATGTTTTACAAATAAATATGTGAAAAGTGTGGCGTGCATTTGTATTCTGCCCCCCGGAGTCAATACTTTGTAGAACCATCATTTGCTGCAATTCCAGCTGCAAGTCTTTTTGGGGACTTTTTTTTCTCTACGAGCTTTGCACATCTTGCAAAAGAAATCAAGCTCTGTCAGCTTGGATGGAGAGCATTTATGAACAGCAATTTTCATGCCTTGCCACAGATTCTCAATTGTATTTAGGTCTGGACTTTGACTGGGTTATTCTAACACATGAATATGCTTTGATCTAAACCAATCCATTGTAGCTCTGGCTGTGTGTTTAGGGTCATTGTCCTGCTGGAAGGTGAACCTCCGCCCCAGTCTCAAGTCTTTTGCAGACTCTAACAGGTTCTCTTCTAAGATTGCCCTGTATTTGCCTTCATCCATCTTCCCATCAACTCTGACCAGCTTCCCTGTTCCTGCTGAAGAAAAGATTTCCTCACACAATGCTGCCACCACCATGTTTCACGGTGGGGATGGTGTGTTTAGGGTGATGTGCAGTGTTTGTTTTCCTGGTGTGTTCAGGGTGATGTGCAGTGTTCGTTTTCCTGGTGTGTTCAGCGTGATGTGCAGTGTTCGTTTTCCCCGACACTTAGCATTTTGCTTTTAGGCAAAAAAGTTCAATTTTGGCCTTATCTGACCAGAGCACCTTCTTCCATATGTTTGCTGTGTCCCCCACATAGCTTCTCACAAACTGAAAATGGGACTTCTTATGGCTTTCTTTCAACAATGGCTTTCTTCTTGCCACTCTTCCATAAAGGCCAGATTTGTGGGGTGCACAACTAATAGTTGTCCTGAGCTGTGGATCTCTGCAGCTCCTCCAGAGTTATCATGGGCCTCTTGGATGCTTCTCCAATTAATGCTCTCCTTGCCCAGCCTGTCAGTTTAGGTGGATGGCATGTCTTGGTAGGTTTGCAGTTGTGCCATACTCTTTCTATTTTCAGATGATGGATTGAACAGTGCTCCATGAGATGTTCAAAGCTTGGCATATTTTTTTTATAACCTAACCCTGCTATAAACCTCTCCATAACTTTATCCCTGACCTGTCCGGTGTGTTCCTTGGCCTTCATGATGCTGTTTGTTCACTAATGTTCTCTAACAAACCTCTGAGGGCTCCACAGAACAGCTGTATTTATACTGAGATTAAATTATAAATAGGTGAACTCTATTTACTAATTAGGTGATTTCTGAAGGCAATTGGTGCCACTAGATTTTAGTTAGGGGTATTGGAGTAAATGGGGCTGAATACAAATGCACACCACACTTTTCAGATACTTGTAAAAAAAAATTTAAAATCATTTATCATTACTCTTCCACTTCACAATTATGTGCCACTTTGTGTTGGTCTGCCACATAAAATCCCAATAAAATACATTTTCATTTTTGGTTGTAACACGACAAAATGTGGAAAATTTCAAGGGGTATGAATACTTTTTCAAGACACTATATATGTATGATTGTAGTCCTTGTATCCTCAAGGTAGTGCAATATCCACAACACAGATAACCTCCACTGCTGCAAAACATTGGGGACTTTTATTGTCGCAGACCTAATACATGAGTACTTTAGCGTCAATGAAAATTCTCAACCATTTTTTTTTTTAGCAATAAGGCTATTTCATGTTTGTGACTACCTGCGACTGGTTTTCAAAAACCTCACAGTTAATGCACTATATTTGCAAGCACTAAAGTTTGTTTTTTAACTATATTTGCAGCTATGAAGTATTCTCTAGCTGGTCTCAAATGTGAACAAAAAAAAAAAATGACATCTCTATATAATGCAGATTGAGTGTTAGTTGGAAGTGAATGTAAACGTCATGAAATGGACACAAGTATCCACAGGACTGCTGACACTGCAGCTTAAAGAGGAATTCCAGGTATGGATATTTTTGCATTCAGTTTTGGACCAATTACCTATTTTGGCAAACCAAATAAGGGATATTGTACCATCTATTATTGCTGCACTATTTATCTTATATTGTTTATTTGAAGGTTGATGGTTTTCCTTTTTAGTGTATCAGCTGCTGTGTCGGTTAGCGCTCACTGAATCCCTCATTACCATAGTTAAACCGATGGGGGTTTAGTTACACTTTACAGTCCTTTTTCTTGCTGACCCTTTGATACTGGATGACCATTCTGCAGAGCACTGGAGGTGACTGGCAATGTGTGGATCAGGCAATAATAAAACACTGAAAAGAATATCAGTTACCTAACTTCTCAGTGGCTTCTACACACACGCTGGGATACATTCCTTCCCGGTACACAGCAAGCAGAATGTTGGATTTTGTTTTTACCATGACAACCCCTTCATCATCCTGATTGGAGAAAGATCAGATCAATACAATAATATCACAGACAGCACTCAGGGAGCAATAACCTGATTATAGTACAACATATTGAAGTATACACTGCTTACACATTTCGAATAGATAGAACTCTTATCAGCACGGACACAATTGTAATTCTTCTCTCGGAAGTTAAGCCCTTCTCTTCTTAGGGCTGCCGTGTTCTTGAAGGCGTCAATGATCACCCGGATGTGTTGAGGCTGTAACTACAAAGGAATAAGAACATTTCATACAGCACAGCCTTAAATAAGCTTTTAAAGAATTAGATTGCAAGTCAGAAGAACAGGTCTACTGTTAGAAATCATGGGGCCCCATACAGCCTGACAGGTCACCTCTACATTAAATACACTAAAATTTTATTAGTGGGCAGCAGGGGGAATTGAATCCTGGACAGGGAAGTTGATTTGTGAGGCAGGGCGGCAATTACAGGAACCGATTCCCTGCGTGTCTCTCACTGCAGCAGATGAAAGCCGATGGGAGGGAGAGACGGAGAAACCAGCTTTTAGCTGCTGCAGGGAGAGAGACCCAGAGAATTGGATCCTTTTATTGCCTCCCCCCCCACGCGGCACCGCACCGATCACCTCTCTTTTGCCCATATCGGATTCTTCTGCTGCCCAAGCCCCCCCCCCCCCCCCCCCCTACTGGCCTTGGCCACATACAGGAGGACTGGTGCTACCTCCTTATCAGCGGCCCTGAGGAAAAAGATAATGTTAAAACATAAGGCTCTGCCAAAATATTTGTACATCCTTTCCTCATAATGGAAGCCTAGTACCTGACACCATCACATACTTTATGTCACCATGGATGGCCAATAAGTTGTCAGAAGTCTCCCAGTGCTTTATCTGGATGCAGTAAGTTCACTGAAAATATAAATCACAATATACACAGTCGAAATACATAAATGAGAGAGCAGTTAAACTGCCAAACTAATTGCATCTAACTTCAGGCAGTCTTACCATTCACAGAACTTTGCCAAATGTTTAAAAATATATATTTTTAAAATATATTTTTCAGATTTTTTTTTTTTTACATATAAAAAAGTCATTTTAACATATATTTTTACATATATTTGTAAATGCATTCTAAAAATGTAGATTTGTATTTTTAAAGACATACAGTGTATTTGAAATGTATTTTTTGTAAATATTTTTCATATATTTTGTAATAAAAAAACGCATTTCAACATACAGTAATATATATTGTTAGCTCAGGTGGGGGGGATCTCCTTCCCTGGGAAAAAGGTAGACCGCACAGCAGGCTTTCGTCAAAATCTGACTGGTTGTCAGTTTTATTTAAAAAGGTTTGCAGAAAATATCAAAATAAACAAAAACATGAACATAAACCCTTGCCATCCAGGCACTAACTAAACAAAAGACGTTTCCTCTCTCAGAGGTGAAGGGCTTCTCCCTGTCACCACAATAAAACAAAAGCAAACCTTTTCTTGTAGGTATAGTACACACACAGCTCTCTCAGAATAGCTCTAGTTACTCCTTGCTCCAGCCCTGCCCTTTTTATACCACCTGTTGTGGTCATCAGTGGAGCCCAAACTCTGGTCCGGACCCACCTGCTTAACTGTGGCCCCGAAAAACCCGGAGTGGACTCCACTCTAAACTGTCAGGGTATGAGCAAATGCGAGGTGACACATAGCGTCCCTCTATACCTCGCTTTCATCCTGTCACAAATATATATATATATATATATTGTGACAGTGTGACGATCTGTCACCCAGGATTCTCAACTAGGCAGGTTGAGGGGCTCCAGGGTAAGTGTTTGATATGGAGGAAAGTGGCTTTTCACTTTCCTCCTTTGTTTGTAAGGTCTGTTTTGGGAGCTGGAGCCTGGAGATTTCGAAGCGATTTGGGAGGGATGAAATCTCCAATCCTGGGACCAGGTTTTGGGAATGGCCAGGAGACCGATTGCACAGGTGTGTGCAGGCCTTTTCAGAAAGTCAGGATCAGAGTTCTGGGCTCCACCCCGGCAGATAGGAGTCAGGAGGGCTCCACTTGGAAGACAGGAGGTCACTGCCTGGAAGTCAGGTGGGCTTCACCTAGGAGAGGTGGAAGCCAAAAGCAGCAAGGGGCTGCTAGAGACTAGCTGTGTGTGTGCCTAGAGGCCAGCGGTGTGCTAGTGCCATATTTTGGGAAGAGGTCTGCAGGAGACAGACAGCAAGCTGAGTATAAGCCAGGAGGCTGAACCGTTGTTTTGTGGATGATCGATACCCCTGTGTGGGAAACTTCTGTTTGAACTTTCATTTAAATAAAAGTGGGATAAAAAGGCCCTTAAAAGAAAGCGAGTAGCTGTGTGCGTTTAAAAGCTCTACCACTTAGAAGCGAGTTCCCACAATATATAAATAAATATATTTTGAAATATATTGAATATGGCTAAAATTGTAGCATTTCAAATATATGTCAATATATTTGGGAAGATTATTTTTAAAAATGTACCGTATTTGCCGGCGTATAAGACGACTTTTTACCCCTTAAAAATCTTCTCAAAAGATCGGGGGTCGTCTTATTTCCGGTATACGGCATACTGACACTTTTTAGGGGGGCGGCGCGCGTTGCCGCCGCCGCCCCCCCCCTTTCCCCCAATGGAAGGGACACTAAGTACAGGGGTGGGCAGCGGCTGTTTTCTTACCTGTTTCCGGTCCCACGACGATCCGGTCCAGGAAGCGCGGCTGCGCCTTCAGTTCAGTCACTGGGATGTTCGTGCGGGCTGCTCGGCTCCGCCTCCTCACCAGTGATTGGCCGCCAGAACTGTAGCTCAGGAAAGGCACACAGGCGGCCAATCACCGGCGAGGGGGTGGAGCCGAGCGGCCCCACGAAAATCGACTGCAGGACCAGCAGGTAAGTGGTCAGTGTAGAGGTGCTGCTGCAACCACATATGCTGGCTGCAGCAGCACCATACGAGAACAGGGTCAGCAAGTGTCAGTGGGAGGAATAGTTCCCCATCATTGGTGTCACTGATACCAATGATGGAGCACTATTCCTCCCACTGATACCAATGATGGGGCACTATTCCTCCCACTGACACCAACGATGGGGCACTATTCCTCCCACTGACACCAACGATGGGGCACTATTCCTCCCCCCCACTGACACCAATGATGGGGCACTATTCCTCCCCCCCACTGACACCAACGATGGGCACTATTCCTCCCCCCACACTGACATCAACGATGGGGCACTATTCCCCCCCCCCCCACTGACTGACACCAATGATGGGGCACTATTCCACCCCCCCACTGACACCAATGATGGGACACCATTCCTCCCACTGACACCAATGTTGGGACACCATTCCTCCCACTGACACCAATGATGGGGCACTATTCCCCCCACTGATACCAATGATGGGGCACTATTCCCCCCACTGATAAATGATGGGGGCACTATTCCTGCCACTGATACCAATGATGGGGCACTATTCCCCCCACTGATACTAATGATGGGGCACTATTCCTGCCACTAATGCCAATGATGGGGCACTATTCCTGCCACTGATACCAATGATGGGGCACTATTCCTGCCACTGATACCAATGATGGGGCACTATTCCTGCCACTGGTGTGCATTGGAAGAGGGTAGTCTTATACGGCGAGTATAGCTCAAACACTAAATTTTTAGCAGGAAAAGTAGGGGGGTCGTCTTATACGCCCAGTCGTCTTATACGCCGGCAAATACGGTATTTCAAATATATTTTTCTTCCATATGGGTATATTTACTTTTACACACCACATGTTGGACATGCTGAAAAATGTCTAGAACTACTAATCAACCCCTACACTGCTCCTCTCTCGCATCCATATACTGAGTTCAGGATTAGTGATTCACACAAGAAAGTTTAGATCTTTCACCCATGACTGTATGAAATATAATGCAAGATCTATGCAGACGATAGATGGTAAGCACAGGGGCGGACTAACAACTCATGGGGCCCCCGGGCAATAGGGGATCATGGGGCCCCTGTGTCCTTGCCCAAACTCAAAAAAGCCTATGAAAAAGGTACCAGGGGCATCTCATGGGGCCCCCTACTGACCCCGGGCCCTCGGGCACTGCCCGAGTTACCAAATGGTCAGTCCGCCCCTGGGTAAGCATATGGTTCACAAAGTCTTTCAGACATAAGTAGTCTATAGACAGCTAAAAAGATTGCTGTTGTTATGCAGCTGGCTGTGCTAAGTGGTGCTGGCCATGGAATTATGTTGTCACCATAAAATTGAAGGTGAATCAGCTCAATGGACCCCTAGCAACCTCTGGAGGAAGACTAGTTGAGAATGGCTGCTCAAGCTGCAATCAAATGTTTCATCCACTATTACAGGAGGGCCGTTTGCAGTAACAGAACAGGATTCTGTATTAGAACATGCAACTTACGTGAAATCGTGGAGGTGAGGTGAAGGCCACCCCTTCTTTTAACTTGATAAGGGCGGCACTCTCCACATGTTGTGTCTTTATCAAAGAATCATACAACAAGTTCTGTATCTGGGTCATTGCTGCACATCACACCTGGGGAAAAGTGACAGAGAAGGTACTGGTGAGACATAATTTTGAACCTTCTAGTTTTCAAAGCAGAACAATAACCAGTGCGTGAGTGTATGTCAAAACCATTCTGTATTCAGGATGACACAGTCCATGGATACAGCTAAAGGGGTGGCTGCAAGAGCATCCAGATGATCCTGGACCTGGGATGTCAGGGCTGCCTGGGCATAACTGCTGTTCCCTTTTTATTCACCAGCTAGGTATGCCCGCTAGATTATTATTTACAGAATAAAACAGCATATCTCTTTAGTACAAATCCTATTTTCCGAACTGCTTTTTTTTTGTTTTAAGACTTTAGATGTATTTTTATAGATTGTTTTAAAATTATGTAAGGAATACGAAAAAAGGGATTTTTTTTTTGTACAGTTGGGTACAATAAACCAAAAGCATTTTGATGGAAAAAATTTCTAAGGAAAAAATGTATTTTTTTTTCCCCTTTGTTGAACTAGTGCGGGTGTCGGCAACCCGCGGCTCCAGAGCCGCATGCGGCGGCTCTTTTTCACCTTTGCTGCGGGCTCCGGAGACACACTGCCCACACAGGTGACAGGCAATAGGGTTGCCGTAGCTCAGTGGTCGGCAAGCCGTGGCTCTTTTGACCTCCCTGGCGGTTTTCCCGAGTGTAGCTCGTGGTAGAATTTCTATACCACGAGCTACACTCAGGCTTACCATGCGGCGCTGCTCTGGGGGTCCCTGCAGCACTTACCTTGTCCTTCGTTCCCCGCGATGTGTCCCCTGCAGCGTCCCCGGCCATCTCCTCCGGCCGATGCCGGCATCCGGCTTCTGTGTTCCGGTCCCCGTGACGTCGGGACGTACGGGCGCCGCCGGCGGCGGGAAATTTAAAAAATTTAAAAAATGACTTTTTTTTTTTTTTCAATTTTCAATAGTAAAACATTGCTGTTTCATCCCATTTCACATACATTTTGTCCCTAGTGCTTTGTCCTGTGCCCTGCCTGCATTTTGTCTGTTCTTTCTGCCAGGAAACTTAGAAAAGTCCATGGCGTCCAAAAAGCGTCCCTTTAGGTCAAAAGCGGTGTTAGAACCGGCTAGAGAAACAGCGATAGTAAATCAGAACCACTTGCAGAATTGAGCGATAATGATTTGTGGGGAAATTTTCCTAAAAATTACAGCCTACAATAAAAAACTATTTCCATGCGAAAAAATGGTACCGCTTTCAGCACAAAAAATCGGAAGGAATCATACCGCCAGGGAGGTTAATGCAGCTCTTCTGTGTGCCGGGCGCCCGCTCCCCTCCCTCCTCTCGGGGCGGCCGCCCCAAAAGTCAGGACTCTGCAGCTAGCCTAGCAATGGGCAAACTACGGCCCGGCGGACCTTATAATCCGGCCCGCGGAGCGTGGCAAAACATTGGCTGTCAGGATGTAGGCGGCACAGCGTGACGAACTCCTCTCCTCTCACAGTCCGCCCTGAAGACCAGAACTGCGCGGGAACACGGCGAGAGGAACGCGCGGAGTACAGGTAAGTGAATTGACACAATATGGGAATGAATTACTATAGGGGGGATGAATTACTATAGGGGGGATGAATTACTATAGGGGGGATGAATTACTATATGGGGGATGAATTACTATATGGGGGATGAATTACTATAGGGGGGATGAATTACTATAGGGGGGATGAATTACTATATGGGGGATGAATTACTATATGGGGGGGGATGAATTACTATAGGGGGGGATGAATTACTATAGGGGGGATGAATTACTATAGGGGGGATGAATTACTATGGGGGATGAATTACTATATGGGGGATGTATTTTCAGTTTTAAAAATGTGGCTCTCAAAATAAATTTTTAATCGTGGTTTTGGCGAGATTTGGCACAGTTGAAAAAACAGGTTGCCCACCACTGAACTAGTGGGACTTTAAAGGCGACTCAAGTCAACAAAATAAATACAAAAAGCATTTTATTATAAAAGTTCACTTCACAAAAACAAATAGTAATAAAAAATGCTAGGGAGCAGTATCTCTGGGGCACTGCTCACATCAGAGCCAGCGATCATCTTATACAATACTGGGCTGTTGTCTGTATTTGTCTTGCAATTTGGCCTTGGTTGTCACTAGGCGACATCATTGCGGGATCCTTGTGGCCCTGTTTAGACGAGGGGTTGTCGTTGGGCGGCACCAGTGGTGGTCTCAGTGACAAACAGGAGAAGTCTTTTCATTCTAGATGACGTTTATCTGAATGACAATATTAGTACTGGATTGGTCCTGTTGTACCATCTTTTTTCTTCAGTCCACCCCTGATGAAAGAAATATGTTTCTCAAACGCATCGGGTATTCCACTAAAGAAATTATATTTGTCCATCTTCATCATTCTGAGGAGGACTCAAACTGACATCAAATGTACTTCTGTACATCATGTATTTTGCCGTCTTTTGTGTTGTTTTTTTTTCTTTTTTTAATTACGGTTTGTCTTTATGAAGTTAACTTTTATGAATTTTTGTAAACAAATGCTTTTTGTATTTTTAATGTTGAGCTGAGTTACCTTCAAAGTCCCACTAGTTCCATAAAGCAGAAACACTATTTCTGTATCATTGTGGGATGTTGGCAACATTTCTGTGATCCCTGTGGTGGTTCTACAAAGTAAGAAAAAAATGTAGAAAATATAGGAAAAGTTGGCAACTGTTAAATATGAAATACCTATTGTTTCCATGTTAGAGTTACAATTACAATCTAAAAGGGGGGGTCAAGTGAAACAAAAGGTAATAACTGTGGTGGATGAGCTGATGGAGAAAATACATGTACAGTTGTTGGGTGGAGGCAGGATAGGCTTCTCTGAAGAAAAAGGTTTTCAGGGATCACCTAAAAGTGGACAGAGTAGGAGATAGTCAGACAAATTGGGGTAGGGAGTCCCATAAGATGGGAGAGGCACAGGAGAAGTCCTGGAGGTGAACATGGAAGGAGGTGACATGGGAACTAAAGAGCAGGAGGTCTTGGGAGGAATGAAGAGAGTGATTAAGAGGATTAAATATATATAGGGGTCTGTAAAAAGTAGTGCATAGAGATCAGGGGGTCCAGATTAAGCAACACACAGAATTAACAGGTCATGTGCAAGCAGGGGTGGAATGACCATTTGGAAACTCGGGCACTGTCCAAGGGCCCGGGGTCAGTAGGTCAGTAGGGGGCCCCATGAGATGCCCCTGGTACCTTTTTCATAGGCTTTTTTGAGTTTGGGCAAGGACACAGGGGCCCCATGATCCCCTATTGCCCGGGGCCCCATGAGTTGTCAGTCCGCCCCTGGGTGCAAGTGACACACAGAGTGCAAGGGTAGGGATTTGAGAAAGTACCTTACAAATTGCATCCAGTGTCCCCTACGTCCTGTGTCAGACTTCTTCTCCCTTCCTTTCTCTACTTTTGTCATCCATGGATTAGTCCCCAGGTGCTGGGCACTCTATAATAACTTTTGCAGTGAGCAGGCACCGGCTGAAGTAACACTGTGCAGGCATGAATCCTAGCTGGAGTGGCCTGTACTGGCATGGTAACATGGATAGCTACGCACGCTTGTAGTGTGACCTCATTTGGTGCCAGCCTGCACACCCTAATTGTTAATGTCGCAAATGTGCACATCAGAGATGGTCGCAGTTCAACCATTTTGTTAGGCATCTCCATTTTCTCCCCTCATCTTTCCACCCCTACCTCTCACTTAGAGGAGACCTCTGGCCAGTGTATGTATGTGTACTGTTCATGGGTCACTGGCAGGGCAAGGCATTTCTAGCTCGGAGCCGAGCGGTCTGCAAAAGTGTAGCCTTTCTCACCTAGGCCAGGAAAAGGCCAGTGTTCCCAAGTGAATTGGAGCCTCACTGACCAACGTGCCTGTGTAGTTTCAAACCTCGTAAAAAAAAAAACAGAGCCTTCCCCCGAGTTCAAGGCATTCCCAAGAAGCCCACACCAGATAACATTTTTAAAAGACCAATTTTTCCCCTATGTTTCATATCTTGGAATATGAGAGACTTACATAAAAACCAGACATCCCGTCAGATTGGCTAGGAGCAGGCGAACAGTTTGATGGGTCATTCGAATTATCTCGGACCATCAGGGGAGCCGAAACATAGAACTCGTGAACCGTGCAACATATAATTTCATAATTCATATCTAGATAATCCTCAGACTTGTTTGCATAATAATATACCCGCGCGTGGAATGTCACTTGTCCAGCTGGAAAGTTATGGACCAGAATATGAATTATGAAAGATGTTGGCTCCAGTTTAGGGTTCCGCCTGATGATCCCTCCCTCAACAGGGGATTGATCTTTTTACTTCAGAACCACCCCCTGCATGGAAACTTTAAAGCAGGCTGTCAAGCCATCGTAACATAGGGAGATCAAAGCACCCTCCTGCTCTGACTTGGATCTGCTAAACCCAGGACTTTGGCAAGTACTTTAACCCTTTCACCTCTCTCTGATATCTCTTTACTGTGCTATGGTTCTCTGTATATTTATATATATATATATATATATATATATATCTTAGTTACATCTTCTCTGTAAATATTTTATTGCACCTGTTTGACCCTTTTAGTAATAAATCTCTCTTTCTGAAAGTGTTGAACTGTTTCTATAGTTCTTAATTGCAATTTACGAATCCCTGCCTTTGAAGAGACGCTACTGTTTGTGTAAACCTCTGTATAACCGGCCTGCGGACCGCTTTATACAGACGATTATTTCAATCATTATAGTGTTATTGCTGATATTGCTGAGTTTCCTCTTTCTCTGTACAAAAAGGAGGTGGTGGCAGTGTGGAGAGTTAGTTGCGTAATTAACCCGACCCAGTAACAATCGCTCAGGTTGCAGGTACATAGATTGTAGTCCCTTAGCTGGAAAATCTTTGTGCAGGGTGCAGCTGGGCGTGGTATTGTTACGTACGTCACATCGCGGTTTGGATCGGCCAGTCCTTCGGTCACGAGTTTGGTGAGAAGGTCTGGGGTCTGATGCCGCGAT